ACCAGTCAATATGCTAATACAAGCAATTGGAAGAGAGGTTTAACAAACAGTTCTGATGCTATGTTGCCTAATTCAGATGAAGATGAGTGCCCATTTGATCCTCCGGAGTATCCTGATCATTTAAAGCAGTTTGCACTAAGAAATTTTACTTTTGTTGAAAATATTGAAGAACAATTGAAAAGTATGATTATGCAGGTAAGTTTACTTAAAAAAACCACTTTGTGAATATTATTCTACGGATATTTTATTTCAGTCTTTCTGTCTACCGCTAAGTTTGATATTCACTAAAAGTTAGTCCACAATACTAAAATTTGTTTCAGTCTTGAGAAAGTTGTTTAAAGTGCAGTTTTCTCACAATGACAATCAATGGTAATAATATTATTTACTGTCTTCAGTTTGTCACTAAACAACAGCATGATGATCTTAACACATAGTCACTATCACAGTGATTTTGTCAAACAATATGTTTTCTTAGATTTACTGAAACTACGTACATGAGATCAACTGAAGTAAGTAGATTGTTTTATCTTCCCAGAGTATTTACATACGAAAATATATGAATAAGAAGTGGTTCCATAATCAATAATAGTTCGTTTTTGTTAAATTTACATACAAAGTAACGAACGCAGCAACGTGTATAAGCTCGTAGATTGTTCGACGTAGTCAGACAAATGAAGCTTAAATCAGCCAATACGATTAATGAGAAATATACAGAAAGAGGAATAAAAACTAGTTATTAATAATACAGCTGTAATACACATAAATTTTACAAGTTTATAACACGTCATGACAGTTTTCCGCTGGCTTTTTTTCCTACGTAGTAGAAATGATATATGCTAGTCATTAGAGGAATTATTAACTTTGCTGGTTATTTAAAGACAACTTGATTATAATCTGTAACATAATACATTTATTTCATGCTTTTGCCATTTCACTGAAATTTACTGATCTTCATAATTTCATGGTTCATTGAACTTTAATAAACTGACTAACAGAGTTTTAAATACAAAAAAGCAACATAAAGTCACATATCGTCGTAGTATGGGACTCCTCAGCAGTGCGCATCCACGATCCCGCACCACGCGGGGCTCGAACCCAGGACCTACTGGCTTCGCGCGCGAGCACTTAACCACTAGACCACTGAGCCGGCATCCAACGGTGTTAATGTCTAACTTCAACTGACTCATGATTTCAATCTGTGAAATTTCTAAAAATAAAAAAAAATCCACAAAACCCATTCTGATAAAGTCACATATTTAAAGAAAAAGAATTCACTATCAAAGTGTGTTAACAATCTGGTGTTGATCAAAGAAATAAAATAAAATTTATACGAAAACTTGAACTTGTTATAACATGAAGCTTCTTTAAAACTACTCGCATAATACTATCGGAGGCATTTCATCGTAGTTGTCTTTATGTTCCCAGCTAATTCTGTAGGCATAATTACCGGTGAAAATAACAAGATGTTTTTTTAATAGAGAAGAACAATAGAAATTTATGTTGTATGTCGGTAATATTTAAAAGGGAATACGTAGGTGTATCATTAGAGCATCATAAGTAAATTATTCTTCCGAAATTTCGTGAGAGTTATATCTTGTTGACCTTTGGTTATTCTTCATGAATACCTCACATTATCTTGATCACGCTTTGCAGTAGATCGAATATGTTTCTTATTTGATACATAATATTCTCACAGTGATGAATTTCCCATTCTTTTTAACTATTCTTTTATACCAGGGGAAAGTTGTATGATGGTTACTACAACATAATAGTTTTAGATAGTTTGTGAGGTAAATATAAACCGTTTGAAAGATTTGATTTCAGAACACTGAAAGTTTTACTGGAATAGTTTTTCTTGAGAAAAAGACTTATGAAATAGGTCTTAAACTCCAGATATTGTTGTCTTTATAGTGTTCATAAAAATAATTAATGGCTTCGTAAATTGTTTTTGACGTCTTATTAAGTATAAAGATATGGTAATATGTAACGAACATGGTTTCCTTCTATTGAGGAAAAGGGCTGAAGAATTACACCGAGAAAAAACAAACAAAACTCCAATAGTTTGTGGTATGAATGTTTAGGAAAGTGATTTTTAGTATAGATTGTGTAGAGGAAACTTTTGAAAAAACATTTTCAATAGTTTCCACATTTACTGGATACATTCAAAACACTTCATGTACCTGCTTTACAAATATCATTTATTTTCAAGTCATGATGTCTGCTGAAAATCGAGTATTTCCTTTATTTTAGTTCTTGAAATCCAATATTGAACCTACTGATCCAAATAATCCTAAAGAATACCCCAAAGTTCTGGTTCATCATTTTCCGCCTATGAATAAAAGAAAACGTCGATTCATTCATGATATTGTAGAATACTATGGTATGGAAGCTTGTACATATGATCCGGGACCTAACTGTCATGTAATGGTTATTGCGAGACGTGGTTATTCCAAACTGCCTGCAGGATCAATGAGTAATCGTGGAAGCCTTACCAGTGTAATCAAACGAGAATATCCTGGAGCCGTGAAGCTTTCCAACGAACAACCGAAATTGGTAAAAGATCCTAAGACTGACTGCAATGTATTACCTGTTTCAAATATTTCGACTTTGTCTTATGCTCAAATACTACGTGGAAAAATCACTTAATAAAACAGACTTTCATTCTATAAATGAAATAAGATTTACGTTTTGTGACGCACAGTATTTCAGATTCATTCGGTTTAATCTGTTTACCTTGTTGTATTTACATGAGGTTATTTTTTAAAATGAATATCCGTAAATTGCTTGAGTCACTGGTAATATTTCCCTGCAAACAATCCGTTCTGTACAGTAAGTAAATGCCACACTATCGTAATCCACCTCGTAATGTTGCTGTTATATGAAAATCAATTGACCAAAAGATCTAAAAGAGAGGGCAGTACATATTGGAAGCGCGAATTCACAGTATCATTTACTTCTAAGGAGTTTTATAAAGAACATAAACTTTATGTGTTTGTCAGTTAATATACAGGTACTTCGCACTTGAACGCCTTTCGATTGGTTGGTGGTTTTTCGAGTTTTTAATTTTGCTCCTATGACCTGAAAAAAAGTTCGGATTGTAATTCAATTATTGTTGTGACGCGTCGGTTAATGTATACGGCTTCCTACAGTGGAAGTTACTCTGCACAATATTTAACTCTTAGAATATATAAGGAGAATACTTTACCACTGCGCAATAAATGCAACGACTTAATTATGAACAATGGATGTGAATGCTGATATTTCCAGCAGTGGTTCAATTTTGAAGAAACGAGGACAAACGGCAGTCGGCTGCCTGTTATTTAGTCCAATACTACTTAAAGACTCGGGTGCAAGTGGTTTGGTATTTACGTCTAAAGGGGGCCTTTTTCCATACTGTACAGCATATCTAGAAAATATACTTAGTATACAGTATTCAGAGCGCATAAAAGTATATGGTGGCCCATGATCTGACTCATATGGTGTGAATGATAACTTTCGCAATATAAATCCTGGCTATTCTCGTATATAATCATCGACCTAACTCGCATTAGTGTATAGTGGAATTTAATATGTCAAATACGGTAATGAATTTCGAATATGTGCATTTCATACGGTCGTTGATCGGAAAGCGAAGCAATACGAATTGACGTGCAATAACTGAAGCAAATGAGCCAACTCGACTTAGTCAAGCGTAGATCGATATTTATTTTCAGGTAAAAATAAGTTAGATATGTGATGAGTAAGTTCGGCAATGAGCGCACATGCGTTTATCTAAAAACAACCAGAATGTGGTTTAAGAATAATGAATTGATTGACTTGTCTGAAAGCTAGAATAAACTATGTGGACGTAACATAGCACATGAAGTTACACTACTCCTTACAAGTATCACAATAGACAAACTTATCTATAAGGCGTCACAAAGAAGGATAGACTCATAACATAGAATTCAGTGTGTCAGAAATCACGTCTTAGTGATACTCGGAAAAGCTTATACTTACCTCGGATTTCCCGACGTTTTTCAGTAAAATGTCGAGCGAACAGTGCATTGCTGTAAAAATTTTGGTTCTATGTTCCTGTAATTTGGAATCTTGGAGGAAAGAAAATTGGAATACTCTATGTTTGGTCATCGTAACCTTGTTAGCAAAACATCCTGGTCACTGACAATGTATTCAAAGAGTAGCGATGATGCTTTCTTAGTAAGTTAGTCTAAAAATGACCCAGTACTTCCAGGATTTTGTTATTCGGTACTCGATAACGCGTTCGTCTGGAACAACATTATGTGCAAAAAAAACACCAACCTAGTTAAATCAGAAGTCATGTGTTACTGACCTCGAAGATATATTTCGAAAGCTACCGATATGTTGAAAGGCGTTTGGTCTAAGCCGGATTACAGTTACATGAATGAGTTACATGGCGTATCAGTTCATTATTTAGTGCGACGAGTGACCAGGCGATTTCAATTAGAGTGTTTCCAATAAAACTAATGAGGTCAGCAAAGATGTCAAAGAATTACGGAATTATCTTCAACATGAATCTGTTTACCAGTACGGACTTCACTGACATGCGCATAAAAGATGATTATAAAGCTTTTTGCAAGTTCTCTAACTCACATTAGACTAGATAACAGTTGGACAATTTTTTTTTAAAATGGACTATATGATATAAATCCATAGTTTTTATTATCATCGTAAGCATTGTGATACTCGCACCATTTTACCAGCTCTTTATGCGAGTGACATGGACGTGTTGTGCAAACTCCTCAGGCATTAGAGGACCGAGCTTGAGTTGTGACCAAACTATAATTTGATCATAAGTGCAACCTGGCAGGACTATTCTTGGTAGATGTCAGTTGAACAAATACATTTTTGAGTATTTTCGACATACTGTACACTTTAAAATGCTATTCCTGTTTTAAACATGCTATAGTTATCCATAGTTTGCAAAACTACAAAGGCATATCAGATTCACTTTCAGAATTTGTTTTTTTACACCATTTATTGTTCAGGTGACCTATGTAATACCGCGACATTTCTTTGCTTATCAGGTTTTTGTGTTCCAAAACATTTTGGTTAAGTGGTAGTTCGAATACGATCAGAAAAGCATAGCCAATTTTTGGAGCAACTGATAGTCAATTTAACACATGTCTAAAAGTTAACACTCGCGATAAAACCGTCATCTATAAATCACTAGCAGTAATCTGAAAGTCAATTATTGGTAAGTAATTAACTTTTATATTTGCACCTTCCTTCACACTGGTTTATAACTCTGGTTTGTCCGTAGTTTTTACGTGAACATTCTCAAAGTCTTTTCATATTCGCTTGCGGTATTTTTATTTCCAATGTTTTCGTTTGGTTATACTTTTCTTCTTTAGGTATTTGTGCTCTGTCATCGTGGCTCATAATCTTCAAATCAAACGTTGCATTCATGCCGTCGATTGTGAATTGTCGTATAACTAGCTCATTTGTTATTATTGCGTCAACGTTAAGTTCTATAACGCCCGGTAAGAATTTATTTTGACGTATCACAACTACTGTCATTTTCAAGCTCATATAATCTACCTTTTAAATCTAAATTATTTACTGCGGTTATTTAATAAGCTGGCATTCGTACTTTCAAAATTCCATTTTATATATCGATTATTACAATTCCGAATACCAATTACCATTTTGTAAATAGGAGAGGGGAGATAATTGTATTTTCTCAAGTTATACGTATCAACAAAATGTCAGGTCTTGCTCTTAACGGAATATTTGTAGGATTCCGTAAATTCTACACATAATTGTTTCCAGTTATGTTAATCAGACAGTATCTTATGTAAAAATAACTCGATATCTCAAACAACAAATATATTCAAGTTATACAAGCATACTCGTAGTGTTGTTATTCATTTGAACACAAATATTGGTATAAAGGGGCACCAGATACATATGCGCCACACAAGCTGCCTGGTTTTTCTGTGAGTTTTGATAGTGTCCGGGTGTCCAAACGGAAGCAGGTGGTTTTCTCAGGGGGTCACAAACAGAGCCTTTGACCTAAAGGTCTAATCCACGATTCTGTGGAGCAACGTTAGGAGATCCATCCTCATGGTAGCCGGTGACCAATAATCGGTTAATACGCCATTTTTCCTTCAGGATACTGGAGCCCATGTACACCATTGGTTTGGAGTCAGGGTTTTTCAAACCTCCTAGATGGACTTTCCGAGTCCACCAATCCGATGAAAGCGCCGGACGTTCGCTTTTCTCAATTTCGTAAACAGTACCTCCGCCACGAGAAGGCAGTAAGTAGGACTTCCTGGCAGAGACTATATACACATGGCTATGTAATAGCATTTTGAGGAGAGCTGATTCTCTCAACCCTCTGCCGTACCAGGGCATCGTCGTAGCTCCTCAAACTGTCGTAAGACCTTTATAATGCATATCAGTTTCAGTTTCAGTTTGGGAAGGACAGGAGGCTCGATGGCCTATGTTAGTCCTGGCAATAGTGGTCTCTCAGTTGATCCAACTTTCTTTTGAAAGAGTCGACGGATGGAGCCTCAACCACGTGCTGAGGTAGTGAATTCCACTCGTTGATGATTCGATGGGAAAGTTAAAAATTGTGCGGTATAGATTACTAAGTTTTATGGATTTCCATTAGTTATGTTGAAACCAGGAAGCATGACTTCTTATTAATCAAAAATTGGTGGGACAAAGTACATTTTTGCAAATATGAGTCGTTTCTAATATAAAAATCATAAGCCGCTTTCAACCTGAAATAGTTACAACGTTTTAAGTGCAATAAAAATCTGAACAAATTCATGTCTTCTGATGAAATTTCAGTTTGTTTCTCACACTGTTCCCGTTATAGGCATCTGTTATCGGGTTTATAACCTAATAATTTTTGAACACACAACATAAAGCTGTTACGTCCACATTAAAAAAGCTAAATATATGTAGTATAAAGATGACGTCTTAGTTTTTTAACACCCATATATCAATCCCGATTGTGGACAAGGTAATTGTTCGTGTTAATTGAACATAAATCATAAAACCTTTGTGTATGAGTTCCTCTTGATATGGTGTCACAGAATGTTTTGAAGTCTATGACCGACATGCCATACTTCTCAAAAACCTTACTAACTCTAATTCTATTGTTACTGAATGTACAAATTTGACAAGCGACTCTCAGTTGTCAAATGCAGTGTTGTTTTTTCCATACATTTTCTCCTCAAACACGGGCTTTTTAAAGCTTTTTTTTTAATATCAAGCTTGAGGACACCGTACTACTAAATGATCCTCATAATTAATTGAAATTTGCTGGGAAGATATACGGAGTTTACTGGTCGAAATTTTTTGAAGTTGCTTCACTTTGGATGGTTAAAACTGCAAAGTAATTACTATATCAAAACGGAGACCCGAACGGAAGTATATATATGTGGATTTAGTTAGGGAGACAGTGCTGACTGATTGTTGATACTATTCTACAAAGTATTCCGGGTAGTTTTGTGGATACTTGAAAAGACTAATTTACGGAAAACTTGTTATAGTTCCAGCATGTGTTTTCTTCATGTGAAGTTCATACAAGATAAAAGAAAATTGTTCACCTTATTTGAACAAAGCTCTAAATACTTTGATTCCGTCAGCTATTTTAAGTACAGTGAAACATTGTCATTTGCATAAGCTGAAGTTCAGTACGTCTTTATATCAGGTTACTGAATATCTAATCAGTTTGTCACTTTCGACACCAACCGAATTCCCGTAAGTTTCGTCAGCTATCCTCAATTTCTTAGCATGAGTCTGACAAATTATGTATTTATTCTTGAAACCTGATTTAAGTCATCATTTATGCAAACTACTTATTCTACTAATTTTATGTAAATATGACGAATCTATTAGATACTGAGTCATCATTTTCCTATATGTGATGCAGATTTAAGACAACCTAGCATAATTTAGCTGATTGACTTTGAATTATCATCTATCTACAGATACATGAAGATATGATATATTATGTTCTTATGTGTAATTAGATGTAATTTTACGTCTTGCATTCGAGACTTGACAGTTACAAACTTGTAATCCTTTAAATTTTAGGTTTAGCGTTCGGTTTTTCTTCGGCATGCACTCTCCAAGTGTACTTTACGATCTGGAAATCTGCGATTTTCGCCAGTTCATTGAACATTGGTGGTCTTTTAGGCGGGTTGCTATCGGCGCGTATGTTGTCAACTGCTGGAAGACGTTTTACTCTTTTGGTATCTTGTATTCCTACTGTGTTAGGCTGGTTATGGATGTATCTATGTTCTGACGTAATATATCAAAATGCCTTCCCAACAAATTTATTTGTTTTTGGTCGTCTTTTAACTGGATTTGGGGCGGGATTATGTATTCCATCTTCTGCCACATATATGTTAGAAATATCTCCAACTAAAATTCGTGGTATAGTTGGTTCATTACCTCAAGTTGGAATAGTCACAGGGATTTGTATATCTTTTTTCATGGCTATGTTTACGCTCTGGGAACAAATCGCCCTAATAAATACCATTTTCTCCAGCGTCATACTAATTCTCGTATGGCTTCTCCCAGAATCTCCGAAATGGCTTCGAAAAGCTGGCCGTATTCACGAGGCTAACAGTATTAGCATACAGTTGTTTGGGATAGTAAGTCTTATGTAAATCGTATTACCTAGTACATTTACATTTTTATACCTACGAGTTGAATCAATATCAACTCACATTTATTCTGATCATCCAGATTACTCAATACAACGTTGTTTTGAACTATTATTTAATTTAGTGTACTTCATTGGGTTTTGTTTATGATGGCCTGATTTATCTTCGTACGTATTTTCATCCTAACATTACTGGAAATTTATAGAATCATTTCCTCCATTAATTTCTATTTACTCGTAAATTTTGATCTTCATTTAAAAGCTAACAGTTAATTAGCTGAAGTTGAAAGCTTCTTTTTTCAAAGTAGAATTTCATAAGTGAAAAAAATTATAGCATATTACTTTGTGATGCAGTTTTTATATTTCGAGACGGGATATAGGAATAATTTGTTTTCATAAGTATTCCAGTTTACTGCTAATTGCCTAATAAGACTGTCCAAAGTATCTGTGGAAAATTCGTATCCATTTTCAATCAAATTATTATATATACATTTAATTATTCAAATTTTGTCAAATGCAATCTATTTAAATATTTTATCACATGATGAGATTCCAATAAAGACACTGGGATAACATTGCTTTTGTTGTAATTATGTGTCAAAGCATTCTAAGTGATATTACTGATGAAGAGCAATGGGAATTAAAAGGAAAAGAAAATTTGTTAATGTGAGCTGAGAATTTCGTGAATTGTATAAGATTTAACTTTGTTATGTTTTGTATTCTCGAAATTTTTTAAAAAGAAACATCTTCAAATAAATTTAACATCAGGCTTTTAAAAAGCATCTAAAGGAAACCTGATTTGCGGATTTACATGGTATAAACAACTTGTTGGTAGCATTTTGATAATCCTAGTGCATTAATTAATGTCGAACTGTAATTTAAACATCTATCGTTGTGTGTTGCGGCAGTAGATCACAATATTACAGTTATTATAACATTAAAGCCCAAATGTTTGTGAATACACTGTCAGCACAAATTGATATCTTATAGTTGACAAAGTATTTGGCTGTAGAGAAAAGTAATATCAGCCGTTCACTAGGGAATTATTGAGGGATTGTATTTTCAAATGTCCCATGAAGCTGATAGTTCTCATAAAATTTATTAAGCTACTATTCAAGTTATTAATTTTATAACTTGAAACAGGTAGTGCTTGTTGACAATGATTTTGATCCAATTTGTAGTCTGTAAAAAGCCTGCTTTTTCTTAAATTTAAGTAGGAAATATATTTGATTACATACAGAAATTTGATTCCACTTCTTTTTTATAGCCTGTTTTGAAATGCTAACAATTTTATGAGTTTTATAGGAATAGCCCAAAAATGTTTATTGGGATTAAGTTACTTTTTAAATCTCGCAATGCTGCCCATGTCAATCTTGTGTTTTATTTTGTAAGGTCAGTGGACATTCTGCGGATACGATCGATTTAAACGAAAGTATAACCAATAGTGAAACAAAACAGCACTCATTATGGCATTATATCTTTCCATGTTCACTTGTTCCGTCAAGTCAACAACCTCAATTACGAATGGCTACAGCCCTCATGATATTTCAACAGTTAACTGGTGTAAATGCTTTCCTCTTTTTTGCTGAATCAGTTTGTCTCATTGGAAATGCAAAATCACCTCCTATATGTGCCTTTTCTATAGGCTTTTTTCAAATGATATTCACTATTTTAGCAGCTTTTGTTATCAATCACGTGCGTCGAAAAACGTTGCTTCAGTTTAGTGCCTTTATCATGGTTATAGCTTTACTAGCCTACAGCATTACAATTTCTGTAAGTTGACTGTGAAATAATTTATGTTTTCTTTTTATCCAATAACATCACTTTATTATTAGTATAAATATGTTAAGGATATTCTCATGATATGTTTCATCCATCTTCACTATCAAATTGTTTTTTGCATGTTTCTAAACGAATAAACAAATATATTCTATAGATACATTCTCTACGTTTCTAAGAATATTGTTTGTTAAAGGGAAGCTCAAATGTGTTTAAATGGAACTATAAAGTACATAGTGAAAAAGTTAACTTTCGCATTCTTCAAACGTAAAGCAGGTAAACAAGTAGTTTTCTATATAATTAAAACTGTCGTAAATTTTTGAGTTCTTTTGTTGAGTGTTTATTTGAATTAAAACCAACCAGTAGTGGTCTTGAAAACCTTCAGTACCAATTTTAGCGATGGATCTCTTAAAAAGAGACTCATATGTTTTGAATGCACAAATAGCATTCTCTTACCATAGTCGAGAATGCTAACAAAATTTATAGTCATGATATTTTATGAAAAATTTAGGTAAAGAGAAGTCCTTGTATATCTGCCCATTAAACTATGGGTTGTGTCATGTATATCACAGGTGATTTCTTCAATTTCTGTAGATGGGATATATACATGTTCAGATGGTCACGATGTGAGCCTAAAATCATAATATTTCCGGATGAACATAACATTAGACATTTAAGCTTGAACTTAGACTGCTTAGCGGATTTAATTGTTTGGTTTGAAAAATTCCAGGTTAATCATGGAGTATTTTGTGCTACGACTCTTCTAATGATGATCTTAACTATGTAAATGGAGAATTTAATGATTTTTTGCGAACAGTATAAATTACTTAAAGGTTTAAATTCATAAGGTCTATTTCTTTTCGTTTTATATGAAATTATCTAGTAATAGAGTACTTGGTAAATATGGTAAATCGATTGATGAGGTAGTAAATCTTCATTAACTGAGGTGGTTGGGACATGTGTTACGTATGCACGACCACCGCCTACTTCTACGAACAATGTTTTATAGTATAATAGTAGGTTGGAAGAAAGCTAGGGGCGTCCAGACGGAAACATGTCACCTGTCCATGAAGTCACTGACAATTTAACTCAGCCATGTTAATAGGTGTAGACTACCTGGTTGGGGTCCGTGTGATTATCGTAACCAATACTTATAGACTTTGAATGATATGGCTCATAACCCCGCTCAGGTGCATCCACTGCTTGTCTTTCCCCGAATTCTGAGATTTTATGTTCCTCATTACTTTCTTTGTTTTTGTTTCACGAATTTGTTTTTTTTTCGAATCGTATCTTTGATACCTAATCTATCTTCTTACTACTGATAATGTTACTACCTCTACTATTCTGGTATTTAGCCTGACAGTTTCTCTCAGTGCTAATTGGGTATGATAAATTTATCGATGTACATACAAACCAGTTTCTACGTTGTGACTGAATAACTGATGACTTTCTATCCTCAAAACATTGCATTTTCACTAACAATGCGCCGATAATGCCTACCAAATGCATTATGAAATATATTAACAAGTTATTTACCTTGAATCAGCCACCTTGCAAATTATGATATTAATATTACTACAGTTGCGCCATATTTATCAAAAGCAATTAGAACCTTCATTGTACAATCAGTATATTTTTTTGTATAGTGAAACTCAAAAAAGTTCTTGCAGTGCACGTAATCTTGTTTAACCCTCCTGTTTCTAGATGGAAATTTGTTCTCAAGAAAGTTTGTTCATAATCCCACATCGTCAAGCATGAAATATTCTTATTAACAGAAGGACAATTAGCAGGATTTTTGCGATCTTAGATGGTGGTTGGAAGTAGTTGACAGGAAACCCTGGACCCGGTTTTCGTGCTACTTGGCACTCGTCAGCAAGGTGTACTTGTAATCTTGAGGAAACTGGTGATCCCTGACAGATTCGATCCCGTGTGACCCAGCTTCACAGTCAGAGACGTTACCACTGAGCTATCTGGGCCGCGACCAACCTCCTGTAGGACTGAGATATTATCACAGTTGGTTGATCACTGGGTGGTGACCAATGTCATGTGTGTCAAGTCCTTATTAGTGCAAATCGAATGCTATCGACCATGATGCAATGTGGCTACCAGTCTAGGTGACTCGACACTGCGTGCACTATGTTGAGATTAGATGGTGGTTGGAGGTAGTCGACAGGAAACCCGATAGTGCACGCAGTGTCGAGTCACCTAGACTGGTGGCCGCATTGCATCATGGTCGATAGTATTCGATCTGCACTAATAAGGACTTGACACACATGACATTGGTCACCAGTAGTCAATCAATTGTGATTTCTGCGATCTTACACATAATTCTTGTGTTGCGTTTATAATGTAGTGGGTTAGTGGAGATTGCTGACTGTTACATCACGAATTGACCTTAGTCAAACAACAGTAAAGCAGTAAACAATTAATGGAATTTAAAACTGTTTCAGTTTTATGAATGCTCGTTGTGAGACGTGAAATACCTCGACCCTATCCTCAGCATGGTCATATAAGGGGAGTGCTAAGGAGTCCCTTACCAGGACAAGACAGCTGCCCCCAAATGCCCTGGTACGGCCGAGAGTGGAGAGAATCAACTCTCCCTCTCGAAATGCTCTCACATGACCACGTGCATACAATCACTGACAGGGAAGTCGTACTCACTGCCTTCTCGTGGCGGGAGTGTTGTTTACGAAATTGAGAGGACGATAAGCGAATGTCCGGCGCTTTAACCGGATTGGTGGACACGGAGAGTCCACCTAGGGTAGTTGGAAAACCCTTATTCCAAACCAATGATGCGCATGGACTCCAGTATCCTGAAGAAACAAATGGCGTATGAACCAATCGTTGGTCACTGGCTACCATGTGACTGCATCTCCTTACTATACTCCACTGCCTTGTGAATCAGACCTTTAGGTCGAAGGCTCCGAGTGTGGCCTACTAATAAAACCACCTGCTTCGATTTGGTCACCCGGGCACTATCACAGCCCTCACACACGTCAAATGGGATTTATGTGGCGCATATGTATCTGGTGCCTCTTTGTACCAATGTTTATGTGTTCAAATCAAATCAAACCAAATGGTTTTGTAAATAAAATTATTCCGTGATTTTAATTGGAAAATTCAACACTATCCACAGACCTGCAGTACTGACAATTATCATTTCCTCGTTGGTGACTAATTTCGAGAGTTAATTCCCGAAGTACTAGTGAGGCGTCGTGACCAATTAAGTTCAACCATGTTTAGTGTAAGGCATTTACCCCTCGTTGACTTTGGAATATGATTGTAAATTATCGCAGAATGATTTAAATTGCACGTATAAGCTAGTGGATACGGTTTAAATAGTCTAAGCGGTAAGTACTTGTGGTAAGACCTGAGGGCCCTGGGCTTGATCTCTGACAGAAATTGTGGATGCAAACTTGTTTAATTTTAATTTAGAAAAAGAACCAATTATCTAGATAGCAAGAATTTACAAGATTTGTTACGTAATAATTTTGAAGGATTTAAAAAGTCTACATAAGTTTCAAGAATTCGATAATTAAAAATCACAGATGAGTTAAAAGATATTGTTAAGGTGGATGATATGATAGTTAGCTTAGTGAAGATTGTATAACAAGTTACAAATACTATCAATATTAAGAAAAATATCTGGAAATGATATAATAAAAATGTATCAACATTATAGTGGTAAATTGTTAGCTGTGTCTTTATTAATGCATAAATTCAGTTATCTTTCAGACACTACTTCAACAAAATCTTGACGAAGTTGGTTTTTTAATAATCTATGAGTTATTTCAAGAGATGGAAAGGCAAACTTATTCAGAAATTACAAGAGGTAGTAATCTATAGAGTAATAGCTGAAAACAATTGTCTACCTAATGAAGTAAAAAAAGATAATAATTAACACCCATAATCTGTAGAGTTAAAGGGCTGCTAAGGTCATGGGTGTATGGGGGGTTGAAAATGACTCTTCTGTATAAAGAGTTCGGGTTTGAAATGGTGAATTTCCGTAGCATCTGTTGTGCCTAAATCCCTCGTCCAAATTTATTTTGAGCATGTTCTTCTTACATTGTAAAGGATTTTGAACGACGATTTTCGTGGTGGGATGTGACCACAGTTGAGCATACGTTCAAGGTCTGAGCTGTTGATCGATTTGTATTCCTCTTGAGATGGTCATGCAGATTCGTGGTCAAATATTTGTTTCGCAAGTGCGCTGATTATCTGACGAATATGACCTGCTCCACAAGAGCAAGTAAGCTAATAAATGAACATTGAGGTGGCCCAAAGCAAAAGTTCGCTTTTGACACTCCTCTGAACGAGTTCCTTTCTGTATGAAACAGATCGGAGCTCTACTGAATAAAACTTCTTTCTCAGTAATCTGGATAGTCTAATCTTTAATATATCAGCTGCCGTATCTCCCTTAAATTCGATGTTCGGGAATAAAACTTTCTTCTGAACAGTGGGAGTGCTTTCAACTTGACTTTTCGATTTTAGTTTACTATCAATGATTTTAGATGTAGAGCCATTCTCCACAAGTGTTTGTCGGATTATATTCAGCCCATCATCAGGTATGCCTTCAGTGCATATTCATCTGGCTCTCGAGGATAGAGAATGGACTAAATTTTCTTCTTACTCAAGGTCACCCAACTCTGGAAGTTCGTATACTGCGCCTTACAGTTTGGCTTTTTGTATATCGATCGTTGTAGAGACTCATCTGATCCTTTTTTAAGTAGAAAATCAAGAAAGCGGAATTCTGAGTTCAACTCGGCTTCTATTGTGACCGTAATTGAGTGGTAACAATTATCGAATCCTTGTAATATTCTATTAGGGTCGCTGCCTTGGTCACAGATTATAAAACTATCCTCCCTATATATATCTTTTTGGAATGAAATTTACCACTTGTTAATCAAAGGGTAATGTTCTTTATATTAGGCATAAAATAGTCTGCTGGGAGAGGATCCAATGGAGATCCCATTGTGACACTATTTATTTATTTATAGATGTCATCGTTTAACTTAAATTGCATTTTGAAGTGCAGTATAGCTCTTTTACGAAGTTTTTCTTTCTGATACTTCGACGTTGGTTTCTAGTTTCACCAAATCGAAAGTCTGAAACGCCATACTTGCAGATCCGATTTCTGACTAATAGTAGGATTTTCACCAGCCATTTGACAGTTGGGTGGTATAGGGAATTTTTCTGATCCATTATCGGACGAGGAAGGAGAACTTTTTTATGTACATATGGGGGGCCATACAATTGTGGGATTGTAGAACTTGATGGCTTTAAACCTGTGAATAGGCCGTCGCCGATGGTTGATTAATCCTATATCTTTTTCAGTATTGTAGCCAGCTTAAGTTCGAATTGATCGGTGGCATCTTTTTCAGTTGGTCCTTTAGAAAATTTTTCCGAATTATTAAGTATTGTGGATAATTTCTCAATATGGTCCTTTCGAGCCATCAGAACAATCCCAGCTCCTTTATCTAGACGGAGTAATGATAAATCCTTATTCTTTAAATGTTCATTTGATATTTATGCTCCTTTGATAGGAACCGTTTCGTTGATGTTTGCGAATCGGTGTATTCATGGGAACAATTAGTAATTGTTGATTTAGTTCCTCAAAATGATTGTTAGGAACTGAGGTTAAGTCAAATGTTTCTTCCATCAGATTTCAAATTGTATTTTTATGTGTTCGCCAATTTTCTCAGAAGTATCACAAAGTTTTGGACCGAGTGACAGTGCTTGTATTTTTAACGTGGACGCTTATGCATTACAATAGTTGAAAACATATTTGTCAGCAGATTCTAGAAAGGTTTTGTTGACTCCTTTTGTTTTTAATTTTTAATTCATGTTTTCAGTGTTGCTTCGCGACTATATAGACATATTCTTTAAACCTTCCGCATTCGTCACTTTATAATTCGTATAATGCATTTGCTCTCAATACAGTATTACGTCTCGCTTCGGGCAACCTGGAGTTTGCCGCATCGATATGGTTCAATATTAAGTGACTGAGTGACCGATAGTTAGGATGGGTGTGATTTCGACGGAGTGCTTTCAAAAATGGTTTCAGATATTCGTGTTTATCTATACAGCTTTTCATAAAATTGATTTTCGCATTTGCTTTCGCAAGTCTGACAGTATAACATAGAAACCCATTGAGTCCCTTAACTACTATAGGACTAGGTTAATATTCCTTTAATAATATTTGTCTTTTAAATTGTAATAACAATTATTCTACCATTTCCACTGTCCCCTTCCAGGCTTATTCATACATTGATGAACTTGGTCAGTTTTGGATTATTTTATTTATGTTTGGTTATTCATTTGGTTGGGGACCATTACCAGTACTTATTAGCATGGAATTATTTCCAGTTAGTAGTCGTGGAAATGCTGTCAGTGCTGCTATCGCTGTCAATTGGATCTTTGCTTTTATAATAACAGAACTATTTGAAATAACTGGTAATTTAATTAATCCTGCCATAGTATTTGTCATATTTTCTATATGCTGTTTAATATCTATGGTTTATGTGCATAAATATTTGCCAGAAACTAGCGATGAATCAAATGGATCAACATTAGATACTATTTCATCATTATCGTATAAATCACAATTAAGTGCTTAATGAGAAAGTATTTTCTATAATTTCTAATACAAACACTAATTATTACTGTTTTTGATATTTGTTTCCTTAGAAATCATATTTTTTTCGCATTATTTTAATTTTTTTCTCGTAAGAGTCAAGTCTCCCTTGACTTGTTCTTTTTTATCGCTTTCTCTCGTATAATTGATGTTCTCGTTTATATGTGTATATGCCTGATTCAGAAAGATTAATATTTCCCTATTCCACTTACACACTACTCATGCTTCATTATGTGTTGCATAAGTACACTTTCCTTTTTTTTGTTTGTAGATCATGACAAACTTATTTTTTAAAAAAACAATGTCGATATTTGTTTTATGTTTTGTTTGTTTTTTTTGTTTTTTTTCACAACAAATGTTACATAATATTTGTTTCAATAGTTTTGATTTTTCACTGAGTGATTAAAATATGATTTGTTGCTATGGTTTTTGAAGTTGATTTTGTTACCTAAATACCCAGGTAAATGGTGAAAAGTTATTATTATTATTATTTGTGATTATTATTATTATTATTATTATTATTATTAATGGCTTTATTCAATATTATATTTTGGTACAATATAAAATTCTCAGCACAGGGTATTTTAGCAAGTTACTTGCGCAAAAAAAACGTGACAAAGACAAAAAAGGGAGAAAAATGTTTAAAAAAAACCCGAAAAATTGTGCAACTTTTCAAATTAGAGACATGTTAAGAATGCAGGTTATTGACTAGGTTAACTCTAACAACCTTTACGTCACAGAGTATATTTGCTAGGTAAGGTATTATCGAGTTATTTATTTATTCTTTTGTTTTTAAATAATAATTCATTTGTTTATCAGTTAATGTTTTTATTAATGATAATTACTTCTTAGTATATTCTACATCTTATTAATTTTTGTACATGAAATATGAATTGAGAATTTTTTTTTTCAAGTGGTACCAATGGGATATTGGTTATTTGTTCTAATTTTATGTCATAAAGAAATTGTTTTCAATGTGGTGTTATATTGTGTTACATTTTAAGATAATGAATGAATATTTAAATAAGAAGTTGTGTTGTAGATGTATTTGTTGTTGATGAAATTGTTCGTTTTTTTTTGTGGTCATCATTGTGTAACATTTAGAAAAATATCATAATTAGACTGACGGGATTTCTAGGTAAAATCTATCAAATGTATCCGTGGTAGACTAAAAACATTTCAATATTTTCTATAATGATCAGTATGAAGTTCTGGGAGATTTTATTTAGATCACGTCCCGATCTAAGTAAAACAACCACTAGAAAACTGGAAACACTGGGCGATCACTTCGTTTCAGTAGGAGAGTTTTCAGTCGTGCCCATCTTCAACTTCTCAAGGAGGAATAATAGAAATCAGTACCTCACGTTCGAAAGCTTAATCTCTATACCACTAGTGTGATAGTCTAACTTCAATCAATCCACGATATTGTGCAAACACCTTCACTAATATATACTTCAAATCAATAAATTTAGTGGATGTAATTAACTGTAAAATCAAAGAATGAGTCTATTAGTAACAGCAACAGTAGTGATGTAGAATAAAAACACAAAGAGAACACGTTAGGAGTAATCCAGTAGCTATTTCTTATAAACCGATAATACTTTACATCACTACAATTGATTTTATCTTATATCATTTGTAGTACATAGCGTATACCTGTGTCACAAACTCTTATTTAAGAACTCAACTCAGCGGGTCAGACCGATTTCGAAGCTCTTTATAAGTACATATCCCATTCTCATTTGATTATACGTTTGCTTATTTTCATTAGGAGACATGACTTAAGTGATGTGTACACCTTTTCAAGTTTTCTCAGCACATTATTAAAGTAAAAAGTATGAGATATTCACGAAACAGAATATTAGGGGTAGGTTAAAAAAGTATTTAATGTTTCCGTTACACTCCAACGTCATTCGTTCCAAGTCAATGATCATAGTTGTCACATAGAACCTGTTTTATTGTGATCGCTTAGCAGAATAGATCAGATCGGTAACCACATTAATTGATGCAGGCTACAGATTTGGATACTTATAACCTTCTTTTATTCTATTCGCATCCCACTCAGTGTAGGATTTCAACGTTGTTGGTGGTTAGATGAAAAATCATTCGGTTGTTTCAAACATTATCAACCGATCAATATCTGCGATATTCATGTCAATGAAAGTTATTCAAGAGTATTGTATTCTTAGTTAATTAGATAATCAGTTTAACGATAGATTTTGTCATTATAATCTATACTTTTAGTCCCTTATTTTAAACTAATAATTATGTGATACATATACATATTTCAAACATATGGTCAAAGTAAGAAAGAAAAGAAACAAACATGAAAAGTTTATTCTGTTACGTAAGAGAAAAATGATAATAATTGACACGTATCAGTATGACAAATTTCAATAGTATCAGGTTTTCCGGATCATTGTTTGATTAAGTCCATCTTATCTGATCATAATCAACAGTTTATTGAATGAAGAAAGGATATCGAAGTAAATGATTTTATTATGTCAAAAGAAAGAAATATATATGTGTAACCTAAGTAAGCATCAAGTGTGTTAAAGCATACCAATCATATATCTCTTTTGTATTGTATAGTTTTTAGGTCTAATATTGTTGAAATGGAAATTCTGGAAAATAGTATTGCATTCATGTATGAAGTGGTGGTTTAATGTTTAAGGCGTTTAACCTTCAGTTGAAAGTTTGGATCTCATTTTGCCTACTTCTGTTTGGGTCACTGGGTAACTCATGCACTTTGAGTGTTACTCAAAATCAAATACACAAGTTTGTACTTGGTTAATGAAGTTAAGAAATAGTTAATCAATTTATCTGAGAATGAACTTTGAAATCTCAGATAATTTTTTTGACAACTGGTCATTAAAGTTATTCATTCATATTTTGAAGTGTAAAATTTCATGTTAAAGTAGCCACTTTTAATTTTCAGTAGACTTTATATGTATTGGATGATTATGATAATTAGTTATAGAAAATGTTCTATTTTAACTTGTTAATTACTTAACTCAAAATTGTGTTTATGTAGTACAATTTAATCGATAAGATTCATTTAACAATAAAGAACTAGATAAGCATGATATCGGCCACCATTCAGTAGTTAATCAATTATAAATATCTTAGTCCAGCTGGAGGTCATTCGCTCTCCGAATAACTCATTGATGACATTCCAAACTCTAAAGCTGGATAATACAAGTTTGTAATTGTACATGCAGTATTGATTCCGTCAAGATTACAGGTACATCTTAATAATAAATGCTAACTAGAATAAAACCTAGGGTCAAGATATTCTGTCTTCTACCTACAACCTCTGGACATGTAATGAAGTATTTGTAACTTTTGGTACCTATTATTTTATTGATTTATTCAAACACTTAAACATTGATACAAGGATGCACCACATAAATCATTCGATTTGTGTGAGGACTGGAATACTGCCCGGGTGACCAAACCGAAACAGGTGGTTTTATTAGCAGGCCTCGCCCTGAGCCTTTGACTCAAAGGTTCGATTCACAAAGCAGTGGAGCATAGTAAGGAGATGCAGTCCCATGGCAGCCGGTGACCAAGAAATTGGTTCATACGCCATTTGTTTCTTCAGGATACTGGAGTCCATGTGCACCATTGGTTTGGAATAAGGGTTTTCCAACTACCCTAGGTGGATCCTCCATATCTACCGATCCGGTTAAAGCACCGGATATTCGCTTATCGTCCTCTCAATTTTGTAAACAACACCCTTGCCACGAGAAGGCAGTGAGTAGGACTTCCCTGTCAGTGATTGTATGCACGTGGTCATGTGAGAGCATTTCGAGGGGGAGAGTTGACCCTCTCCACTCTCAGCCTTACCAGGACATTTGAGGACTGTGTGATAATGGCTTTTACTATCGAACTAAGCATTATCAAGTTGATTATAAGTTCAAAATAACTTTTTTTTAAAACTATTTCAATCACTTTTAATTTTAATCAATAAATGAATTACTCTCTTTCTCTCTCCCTCATTTCCCCTATGTTTGAGTGAATGAATATAAATTTTAATCTTATTTGGGCTGAACGACTTTAAGTGAACACATTAATTTCCGCCTTAGTGGTAAAAAAGAGAAAATATTTTTTCCATGACAACTGTATCGTTGAAAATTATAGTATATAAAGATTAGTTAAGAACATTCATAGTGTTGGTGAGATTATTCTGTAAGAAATTTTTTTTTAAATTTTATACCATAATCAATAAAGTTTAGTTGGATACGACATAAGTAACTAAAGCAAAGTACATATTTAACATAGTTGAGATTGATTAGTACATATATATGCTGTAAATGGAATCATGAAATAGGGAGTAGTGAAGGAAGTTACAAGTGGTAATAAAGAGACAATGAATTAAAAAAAAAGAAAACAAATCAGTGATAATCAAGGCATCTGTTTAACATAACTTTAAAGTTAATGTTTTGAATGAATGTCAGTGGGATTTATAAACCATAATGAAGAAATAATGTAACTAACAAACGTTAAAATAATACATATTACCAATGAGAATAAAAAGTTTACCACGCTTTCCTTCTATGTGTTAACGTGAGGTCGAAAGTGTTTGGTGTAAAATTATATGATACGCGTCTGAGACACTCAAGTTGTGCTCACTATGTATTAAATGTTTAGTAATCATCCTTCTGAATACTTTACTATCATTTACACTCAAATTACAGTGAGTATGATCGTAAAATCTTTTGGATGCCATTCTTTCATTTCTTCCCATGTCTTCACAAGTAAATGTAAATTCGTAAATACATTTAGAGGTGACTTTTGAAGGGTACTGATCAACTCTCAATTTATTTAAAGAATATCTGATGTTACACACCAGAAATAGTTAGGAAGCTTCTCTTTAGCACTACTTTCATTTTTTAGTCGATCCTACCTTAAATCTCCTCACCTTTCAATCCACGAAGAATGTCAACGAATTTTCGGTTAACGTCTGTTTATTTGGGATATTCCGTAACTCGTAATGCATTTCTTTGGATATGCAATTTTTATAAAGCACTCTTCAAGGTATGCCATCGAATCCTGTATTTCGTCGCCTGAACACAACTTTCTATTCTTTTAAATACAGTTTTGACTAAATAACGTTTATAAATAATAAGACATGAACTATATTTTGATGGAGTTTTGTTCTCTGAGCTGGATGGTTCGTTCGTTTAGAACGATGAAAGCTCTGCGATCAAACCATCCAGTTCGAAGAACAAAACTCCATCAACTGTTAGATTTTGTTAAATTTTTTATCTTGAATTTATATGTCCAATTATCTGATTTTCATTGAAACCTATTTTAGTAACCACTTATTATTAATCTCACGGATAATAGAAAACACATTTTGGATTCTTAGTCTTACTCTTATATATCTCAATTGTACTAATTAACTACTTGTGAAATTTCAACTTTGTTATTATTTTAATTGTACAAAAGTTTTTTTAATTAACTGTTTATTACATTGTTAACCTGACTTAACACTATTTCATTAGTAGTTATTGATTTTATA